ATATATATATATATATATATATATATATGTATGCATATACAGAAATAAATCATGTAATCTGTTTATCCTATACTAGATGATTATCATTTTTTTGATAACATGTAACCGTTTTTCTTTAATACGTTTGTTGTATTTTGGTGGTATCTTGGATTGCATTATACACAATTCTTCCCCTATGTGTTTGCGATTATAATGTGCTAATTCCCTGAGTATCATAGGTGAAGAATAAAGTAGTCCGTGAAGTCATAGAGTTCATTAGAAGTCATCGGCTTCTGTTTGATCAAATTCTGCACGAGGATCTTTCAAACACGGATGAATTGATTATGGAACTTATCAATCTTGTCGTCGGTATACTCAGCAAGGTAGAGTTGGCATGATATGTACTAAAGTTTCGATACTTAATATTTGTTACCACTGAGACAATAGCTCCTATGGAATGCATGCTGGATCACATACGTATTCATTAAAGATCTTTTGGTCCGATGTCCTTACACCACTGATAGTCACTTCAATAGTTCAGCTGAACATAGTCCTACATTCCTGAACCTGAGAAAGGGATGTGGGCATTCAATATCTTAGGTTTTTTGTGTAGGAAGACAATGATGCTTCTTTTAGTCATATATTATATATATACTCCCTCCGTTTTAAAATACTTGTGTATTTCTTTTTACTTATTAATTGTCAAAGTAGATATGGTTCATCTAATTAGTTTGATAAAATCCTAAAATTCCGAAGTTTTAGTTCATGCTTGTTATTTTTGTAATGATTCGTATCTTTATCTATAAGATCTCTAACTTCATTCCCATCATGAAAGCACTTTTTTAGATAGAACTTAAGAGATTTAGAAAATCTAATAGCATGGTAAGCTAACCAATTCCAACGTTTCAGTATTTTTTTATTTTTTTTTTCACTTAGAACGACAATTATTTTAAAATAGAGGGAGTATATTCACGCATTTGCAGATCGTTCTTTTACCCACTTTTGCCTCTACATAATCCAATTGTGTTTTATTGAAATAGAATAATTTTGTTATGTTTATGGCATTGAAATCTGCCAGTAGGCAGTTTTAACTGGTTTGTTGTTGCGTGTTGAAAATTCTTTCTGACTATCAAAACTAAATTATATCAATTAGGTTTGGCCGTATGAAGAAAGTGATGAATATGGATTTATTCAAGCTCTCTTCGGGATGATGCATGCTCTTTTTGCTCGGGATCCAAACATTTTCATTTCTTCCGCCCGATCAGAGGTCATCAAAGTTTCCATATAGGTGACATTAAACTAAATATATAACTTCTGGGTTTCATTAAAAGGTAGATGTTCTTCTACATGTGTTTTCAGGTTCAGCAGAAAGCTGATGTTACCGTATCACACCTCTGCTTTAGTTTGAGCTCGTATCTCTATTTTCTTGTTACCAAGAAGTCTCTAAGGCTTCGTGTAAGTAAATCTCTAACGTGATGTGTTACTATTGTACTTTCTTCCTGTTAGAAAATATGGATTGTTATATTAATGAAAGAACTACTGCTGCACTTCGTATAGGTTTCAGATGGAGCCGTGGACAACGAAGAATCTACTATGCTAAAGCAGCCCACACTGTTTTTGCTTGTCGTATTCCTTGGTTCTGTGGCAACTGGATTGGAAAAAGCTGCTGAAGAAAAATATTTACTTCTCAACAAGGTCCATAAATATGATTTATGTGCATTTGTTCTATTGATTTAACTTCACAGTTGAATTAAAAGTCTCTCTTCTATGCTTCTAGATTAAGGATATCAATGAGTTATCAAGGCAAGAAGTTGATGAAATCATCAATTTGTATGTATCTCAAGATATCACTTCGACTTCTGGAAATATTCAACATAGGTATTCCTCTCTCTCTCTCTCTCTCTCTCTCTCTCTCTCTCTCTCTCTCTCTCTCTCTCTCTTTTCGAAACAATACGGGTGTCATGTCTTAGTGGATGGATGTATCTGAGACTTCATTCCAACAAAAATCATTTGGAACAGTTATCATACTAATTAAGGAAGAAACTACTATAGCACATTTTTTAAGCAGATTTTGTTTATGCATGTTATTTAGGTTGACATGAATATTCTTGTTTTTTGAAACCTGAAAGCATTAAAGATACCCACCCAAAAATGAAACATACCTATCCATAGCTATTGCGAAGAAAGATCTTGGGGGCTCTTTCAGTTGCAGTAGATGCATGTTATTTAGGTTGACATGAATCTGAAAGCATTAAAGATACCCACCCAAAAATGAAACATACCTATTCATAGCTATTGCGAAGAATGATCTTGGGGGCTCTTTCAGTTGCAGTAGATGAATGCATTTCTCTTTGGTTGATCTCCTATTGCCAGAAACTTTAATGTGTGT